TCCCCCCGTACACTCCCTCCACCACAAGGAAGGTGAGTGGGTGAGGCGGGGGGGCCGCAAAGTCCCCCAAATTACCCTACTAACGTGTTTAAAATTAAGGTCATGGTTAATTTTTAATTTAAATGGAACCTTATAATATCTTATTTATCAAGAAATATTTTTATTAATTGTTCTTATTAATATATATATTATTACATAGTTTTTCGAAGAATTAGGTAGTTTATTCCTACCAAACAAATAATATTTATATGCTACTATACATAATCCTACGATATAGTCTAATTAACTTAGGCCCTTAAAAGTGTATTGAAATGGATTTAACAAAATTTATGAATGCATATAATTCCTAGTCTTACTCAAGTATATAATATACAAATTAAGAAGTCTATTAATCTAGTTTTTTCCTCTTTTTTAGTTTTTCAAATTTTCACTCTCGGTACTACTGGCAACTAAAAAAATCGTAAATAAAGGAATGGTAGACTAATATTTATTTTTAAAACTAATATAGACATATATGTAATATTGATTAATTTTTTTATTTTGATGATAGATTTTACAATAAATATGAATTACTAAAAATTATTTATATGTTATCTTTGTTTCAAAGATTCAAAGATATTTATTAAGTACTATGTTTTCTATATTACAGTCAACTTCGGGACCGCGGGTATGGTCGGAACGCAAAAAAGGTCGGATTATCCGAAAAAGTAAAATTTTAAAAAAATAAAGAAAAAAATTTAATTAAAAATTTATTTACAAAAAAAGTCAATTATACTTTTTGTTTAACAGATGAAATTCTTGACTTAACTGCAATATTCCTCCATTTATTTATCCACAAAATGTCCATAGGTTTTGAGCTTGAGTCCTGCTCAATGTACTGAACTGCAATATAAAAAGCGTTTTTGGCGTCGGTGTGTGAAATCCGGGCAGGAGGTTCGTCATCATCATCATCTGAGTCCTCGTTTACAGTTTCTTCAGTTTTATTTTCCAAAACGGCGGCAATAATCTCATCGTCATTGAGGTCTTCACTTTTTTCGTAATCTTCATCACATTTGGTCATACATTCCTTAACTTCATTGGCAGGGATAATCACTTGTACAGTTTGCAGATCTTTAATGATTTCCTGCGTGTCGTTGTTTTGCTCGTTTTCTTTCTGGTCACTTTCGGCCATAATTTCCGGTCAAAGTTTACGCCAAGATTTTCTCAGCGTGTCAGGTCTAAGTTCCTCTCATGACTCTGCAATCGTATAAATAGCATTTTTGATGTTGAGGGATTTCATAGCTTCAAATATGTTACAACCTTCTTCGAACTTTTCTAAAATTGAACTGATGTACTTTCTACGATAGCGCCTCTTTAACCATTCTATCACTCCCTGATCCATTGGTTGGATAAGTGATGTGACATTTAGTGAAGAAAGATAGCTTTAATGTCCCCTTTCACTAAATCTTCTTCTGATGTATGTGATGGTGCGTTATCCAACAGCAATAGAGCACGAACGGGAAGCATTTTTTGTTTCAAGTTTTTTTCAACAGATGGAACAATCTCGTCGAAGAATCAATATTTGAAAAGATTGTAATCCATCCAAGCAGATTTTTGATTGCGGTAATAAACCGACAAGGAAGACATATTTATGTTTTGGAATGCCCTAGGCTTCTTATATTTACCAATAACGAAAAGCGGAAGCTTGTGTGAACCATCACCGTTGCTGCAAGGAGCAATGGTTAGCCTATCATTCATAAGTTTCGTTCCTACAACTGTTTCATTTGATGCAGCGAGCGTTTTGTTTGGGGGCATTTAATAGTTTAGGCCAGTCTCGTCTATGTTATAAACTTGACAAGGTAACAGCTCATTTTCTTCGACAATTTTTGAAACTTCACAGAAAATTCCTTAGCATCAGCAGATAGTTTTTCACCAGAATTTGAAACAAACCGGACGCCATCACGGGTTATCCAGCGATCAATCCAGTCTTCACTAGATGCGAACTCACTTTCAGCTTCTAATTTTTTGTGCAAAGATATTGCCTTTTCTTTTATAATGGGCCCAGATATTAGGGTTCCCTTTCGTCTTTCTAGACAGAAGCACATCCACAACGCGTTGTCAAGCAATTCAAGTTTAGGTTTTCTCAACGTTTTCCGATACTTAAGGATGTTTTCACTATCTATCGTCACTGTGTATGATTTAATGTCTTTCCGATTTTTTCTCCAGTCTTTTATAGTCGTAACGCCTACATTGAGTTCCTTGGCAATATTTTGGAGTGATTCCCCTTTGTCCAGTCTTTGTAACACTGTTAATTTTTTATTTAATGAAAGAGTAACATGCTTACATTCACTCTTGACATGTTGAAATTAAATTATGTATACACAATTGACGCCGTCGGGATATTACCATCATACTGATTTGGATGTTACCCGGATCAGATGGTTATACTCCGTGTTGTGCTTTCTGGAAGTGCAAATTATTAAAACCCGAGATATCTTATCACTTATCGGTGACCGTCAGCTTTGACATAAATGCGAGTCAATGTCCTACGGCCCTTATCTAGCCTCGATTTATGTACACACTAATGTACAAAAATAAAATGAGAGATAATTCAATACTGAAAATTATGGGAGGTAACATGCGTTCGCGATTAAATCATTAACAAAACGAGATATGTTTTTCGATTCTGACAACGGTCGGATTAGTCGGAGTGACGGACTAGCCGAGGGCGGACTACAGGGGTTCTACTGTATCGTTTCCTTGGTATAATTAGTCACGTCAGTATTTTTTTTTGTTTTTTTTTGTAAAATTATAAATATATGAATTTAAATAAAAAAAACCTAGTACAGTGGGATTGCAGCATAGTGGGGACGTGGCATAGTTAAGTCCAGTATAGATTTAATCTGACAGTGATTAAAATCACTATCATAAGAAACGCTTTGATGCAAATCTGTAGATAGTGTTTAATTTTAAAAAATTGATGGATAATTGCNGTAAAAAACTATTCGTAAAATAATAGTTTATGACGTGTCACTAGAGATGGGTTCTCATAATCTATCTGGTTATATAAATTTTCATTTTAAAATATAAAGTAATACATATATTCAGACACCAGGTATAGAAAGGAACTACAGTAAAGTAATATTTCAAGTTGAATAATTTGCATAATTTTACAAAATAAATAACTAGATAAAAGTCAGTGCTCTCTATATATATATACCTTTTTACGCAATAAACAATCAAGCTAGCTGGACTCAAGGTAAGAAATTATGTTTCTAAGCATGTCATAAAA